GAGTCCCTTTGGCCAGCAGAGGACCTAGGTCAAATAAGCCTTATACAAGACGCGTGGTGTGGAGCTTGCTGAGATCCTACTCAGACACTGGGTTATCCACCCATCCACAGAGGAGTCTACAGCCACTCCTCTGTCCACCCTTCTACATCCCGTCATCTGTCCACCCGGCTGTATAACTATTCCTTTGTCTACCCGTGTACAGTCACTCCTCTGTCCACCGACTACAGCCTTCTTCTTCTGTCCATCTACATCCAGTACTCTGTCAATCCATCTGTTAGGGTGACCAACTGTCCTAGTTTGCTTGGAATTGTCTCAATATTAGCACTGAAAGTTCCGCATCCTGAGAAACCTCTCAGTCTCAGGCAAACCCGGACGGCTGGTTGGTCCATCTGTCCCCGAGGCATCCCGCAGTCCACTCATCGGTCCGCAGCCGGTCTGTCCACCCATCTATTCATCTGACAACCTGGCCACCATCCCCCTGTACCCCGGGCACTAAAGAGTGTGGAGGAGGCTCCGCCCTGCCATCTGACCTCGCCCCCTATAGCCACGCCCCTTCCGGAAGTTGCTGCTGGGACTCTCTGCCCCCTAGCAACTGCGCCTTTCGGGCCGCCCAGTCCGCGAGCGAGGCTCTCAGTGCGAGCCAATAGCGAGGGGCACCGGGAGTGAGGCGAGGGGGGCGGGTCTCGGCACGGCAGCCGCCATCTTGATGGGAACGAAACAATAGGACGGAAGCGCCGCGGAACCGGTCCGGGGCCGCAGGTAACGCCCGCGTAGCTGGGCCCGTTGGCCCTGCCGCCCCGGGGGCTTTGAGCGGGAGAGAGTTTTCCCAGGCCGTTTGGGGGTGGAGTCTCTGGACCTCGGGGGTCTCCCCGAATCATTGGGAGGGTGTCTCTCCGGGTCTTTGTGGGGCCGGATTTCCCTGGGTCATTTGGGAGAGGCGGTATTTATCCAGGTTATTGGGGAGGAGGGATCTGTCCTAGTTTTGAGGGACAGAATCTTCTGTGGTCATTGAGGTTATCTGGTGGGTTTTGGGGGGACAGGATCTTTCTAGTCATTGAGATGGTCTCCCCGAGTTTTTGGGGAGCAGGATCTCGTGTATCATTGAGGGGGGTTCTCTCAGGGTCTTTGGGTGGAGGGTTGAGCCCATCCCCTCAGGTACTGTTACCTGAGGCCCGCAGGTGTGCAGCCATTTTGGGTATTAAATGCCAGTTGGACTCGTCAGCTGGTGTTTTGGTGGGGAATCCGCACAACTAACCTTGTAGAAAGAATGTTTTAAAATGGATCAGAGGACGCCTTCTTTATGGTGATATTTTCACCATGGATAGAGCTTTCATTTCTTTCACATTTGATTACAGACTTCTTTTGTCTTTTACATCGAATCTTTTATTTTATTTTAGGATTTTATCACGTCTCGTATTCTAAGAAAGCTGCACCAGCAGAAAAATGAGTCGTAATGTTGTCAAAATGTAGAAACCAGTAAAATCTAGTGCTCTAAAATACCAGGGGAAGTACAACTGGTCACTGCCTTGAATGAAACATTTTGGTACCAAACTGAACATAGAACAAGAATAAAATTATCTGAAAGAATAAAGTTTTAAGAAAAAGTACTGAAACTTTTGAAAAATGGTAACAAAAGTGTTGCCAATCACCAGCTTTATATTTTTTATAAAGGACCACCATTACACTAATTCTGATGATTTCTTGTATTTAAAGTATTTGCTGCATTTGCATTTTTAGCATGTGACAGCATAACATTTTAAGTGAACCGAAATGCTTATTTATGGTTTATTTGTCGCTGTGGGGTTTGTATAATTGTATCCTATAACCTGGTGTTAAGTATTTAAAGGGAACTTTTGGGTGTTGTTTTTTAACTTTAGCCACAGTCTGATTTAGAAACCGGGCAAAATGAATACTTTATCATATTTGACGTAGTAGGCCAGTTGATCACTTAGTAACTTTTTTCTTTGGAGAAAAAGTCAGTTGAACTGTCATTCCAATTGGTTTACCTGCTTTGTGACTTTAGAGTAGAAATTATTAGAAATCAAGTGGATAAGAATTGATATAGTTGTAGAAACCAACTTAGCAGATGTAATAGACTTCTTTTGTGCTTCAGGACTTAATAGGTGACAAACAGGTACACTATATACCAGCTCTGTGTCTGAGCAGTGGAATATGTGAGGAAGAAGCAACCGCTGAGTGATCAACCTCAGCCAGTCTCCCTGCAGAGGAGTGCTGGAGCCTTCCGTAAGCACTGGAGATGTCACTGGTATCCAGGCAACCAGGATGAGCCTGAGCCTCCCTGAGGCCAGCTTGCTGAGGTGAAAATTTTCCATTGTTTGGCTCATGAAGAGGATGCACTAGGGAAGAATTTTTCCCTTGAAGTTATCTTACCTTAAGAAACAATTTGAACACATATTTGTGTAGTAAAAAGCAGATGATGACTCTTATGTGATTACATTTTAAAGCACATAAATAAATGCTTTATTTACATGCTTTTTATAAATAAATTATATTTTTGCCTGTTTGCATACTGTGTAATAAAAGTAACAAGTAGTAGTAGTGTTTTGCAGTATATTCTGGTGGCAAAGGAAGATACTTTTCCCAAAAAATTGAAATTTAGAGTTTGAAGGAAGACAGTCTCCAAACATGACGCACAGTTGGTTTGGGATTGTCGCCCATCAGCAGCTTCAGCAGTTACCAACTCCCGGCCAGACTTGCTTCATCTGTACTATTTTAAAAAAAGATAAAAGCTGGATTAGTTTTTGAAGCATGTCCCAGAAGTGTCATTTTTATCAATAAATACTTCAGTGTGTGTCTCTAGGAGCCAAGGAGCTAGCTACAATATCTATACAATACAATTATCCTGCCAAAAAACAATGATAATACTTTTTTTTTTAATATTGTGCTTTAGTTAAAAGTTTACAGAGCAAATTAGTTTCTCATTCACAAATTTATACACAAATTCTTTTGTAATATTGGTTGCAATCCCTGTAACGTGTCAGCACTCTCCCCTTTCCACCCTGGGTATCCCGTGTCCATTCGTCGAGTTTTCATGTCCCTTCCTGACTTCTCGTCTTTGCTTTTGGGCAGGTGTTGCCCATTTGGTCTTGTATACTTGGTTGATCTAAGAAGCACGTTCCTCACATGTGTTATTCTTTGTTTTATAGGCCTGTCTAATCTTTGGCTGAATTGAGTGGCTTCAGTTCTGAGTTAGAAGGGTGTCCGCGGGGCCATAATCTCGGGATTCCTTCCGTCTCTGTCAGACCAGTAAGTCTGGTCTTTTTTGTGAATTTGAGTTTTGCTGTACATTTTTCTCCCACTCTGTCGAGTACCCTCTGTTGTGGTTCCTGTCAGAGTGGTCAATGGTGGTAGGTGGACACCATCTAGTTCTTCTGGGCTCAGGCTGGTGGAGACTGTGGTTCATGTGGTCCGTTAGTCCTTTGGACTAATATTTTCCTTTGTGTCTTTGGTTTTCTTCATTCTCTTTTGCTCCAGATGGGATGGGACCAGTAGATGTATCTTAGATGGCCGCTCACAAGCTTTAAGACCCCAGATGCTACTCACCAGCGTAGGTTGTAGAACATTTTCTTTATGACTATGTTAATGCCAGTTGACCTAGATGGTACCCGAGACCATGGTCCCTAGCCCTCAGCCCCAGTTACTTGGTCCCTCAAGGTGTTTGGAGGTGTCTAGGAAGCTTCTTATAACCACCTCCTTTGTGCTTTATTATATATATGCTGTACGTACAAATATCCACAGCCTAAGCTATATATGTACGTGCGTATACTCCTATATGCCCTCCTTCCCCTCTTCAGCATAGGTATCTGCTTGTAAGTTATTGTTTTTACAGGGTTGTATATGCTATAATACTTACTGTAGTTGCCATTTTTGTTTGCCGTCTTCTGTTCCAGAACTGTGAGACAATAAGTTTCTGTTGTTGTAAACCACCCAGTTTGTGGTACATGTTATGGCAGTCCTGTGAAATGAATCCACTAATTCTATCTCTTTACTTGTTATAGATTTTTTCACATTTTCTATTTCCTCTTGAATCATTTTTGGTACTTTGTGTCTTCCTAAGAATTTTTCCATTTCATCTAAATTATCTACTATGTTGGCATATATTTGTTCATAGTGTTCTCTTAAAATTCTTTTTGTTTCTGTAAGGTTGGTAGAAATGTCTGCTCTTTCATTCCTGATTTCAATAATCTGAGTCTTCTGTCTTCTTCTTGGTCAGTCTAGTTAAAGGTTTGTCGATTTTGTTGACTTTTTTTCCAGAGAACCAATTTTTGTTTTTGTTGATTTTTTTTTTCCTATTCTCTATTTTATTAATTTCTGCTCTACAGTATTATTTTTTAAAGTCATCTTTAAGGGACTTGCTTATATCAAAATCCAGAATTTATCCCTATGTTGGATATGTTCCTGAGTCATATTCCCAGGGATAATTTCAGGATCTGTGTTAAATTTCCTTGTCTTCGCAGAATCCATCAGGTGATCATTGTGAGGATCCTAAACGAGCCCTGACTGAGACAGTCTCAGGCCCAAAGTCTACTCTGTTGTTTAGAATGAAGTCATTAAGAGTGCCCCATATTCCAACCGGGGACTCAATAGATGGTCCCAGATAGAATGGGAGAAAGGCTGAAATTCCTAAAAAAAAAAAAGGCCAGACTTACTGGACCAGTAGAGACTAGATGAACCCCCAAGACTATGGCCCTGGGATACTCTTTAAATTTGGAACTCAGACCACTCCCAGAGGTCACCTTTCAACAAAATGACAGATCGGCCCATAAAATAAATAACATCACCCATGAGTACTGTGCTCCAAAATAACCACCTAGATGAAACCAAATGGTTAATATTTACCCTAGACCAAAGACAAGAAGGCTAGTGGGGACAGGGAAGCTAGATTAATGGAAACACAACAACCAAAATGGAAATAACGAGAATGCTGATGTACTGTGAAGAATATAACCAGTGTCACTGAACAATATGTATAGAAATAATTAAATGAGAACCTAATTCCCTGTATAAACTTTTACCAAAAAAACACGATAAAATATTAAAAAAAGAAAAAAAGAGTGCCCTATAACATGAGAGATTTTTTAAGGACCCACATTGAGCTGCTCCATCTGTTCTGAGGGGTGAATTTAGCAAAAATCCCTCCCATTGCTTTTCTCTTTGTGGCAGCCTTGTGGCCTGCAGAAGGTCCTTGTGGTCCTGTTGACCTTCGACAGGAGCCATTATTTCTGTTCTGTTGGGATTCATATTCATAATTCACATTGTTTTGGAGGAGAGGACTGTGGCCAAGGTGGGAAGGCCACCCCTGTGCCTTAGGTCTGGTCTGATTGTGAAGTCATTGGCGACTCTGTCCCCTGGGGCCGTGCAGCCTCTGGGGCCAGGCAGTGTTTTTCGGTACTGTTCTTTAGTTTTTGTAGCCTTGTAATTTTTACTATTGCACGTAAATTATAACATTTGTAAGTTGTATAAAGTTCTCAAGGACATAGATGAGCCTTGAAAACATTATTGTAAGTGAAATAAGTCAGACACAAAAGGACAAATATTGTATGATTCCACTTATATGACATACCTGGGATAGGCAGATGCATAGAGATAGAAGTAGGTTAGTGGTTACCAGAGGCTAGGAGGAGGGGGAATAGGGAATGGACTGCCTCAGGGGTACTGAGTTTCTGTTTGAGGTGAAGAAAAACTTTTGGACATAGGTAGCGGTGATGGCTGCATAACATGGTGAATGCAATTAATGTCACTGAATTGTACATTTAAAAATGGTTAAAATGCAAAAACATATATTTTACCAGAACAGAATTTTTTTAAGTATGAAGAATAATACAGCAAACAGCCATGTATCCACAAATCCTAGAGGTTTTAAGGTTTAACAAAATATGTTTAGCATTATCAGTGAGGCTGACTTTTCTAAACGTATGCGCCGCATCATCACAGTTTTGCTGTTGCCTTGTGCCCAGATTCCCGCAGCAGCATCCTTCTGACTTCTCTCTGCCTGTGGGGTCTCCCTATCCCTATATTAGCCCAAACACACACACACTGGTCCATCAGTCTTCCTGAAACTCTCCTCATGCTGACATGTTTTAAAAGGACACCAGTGCACGGTTTTAGAGACATTAAATCAGAGCCCAGGGACCAAGACACGTGGAACCAGTCCCACCATCGCCCAGCCCCAAGAATGGAGGGAGGAAGCAGGCCAGTGCTGCCAACTCACCCTGCTGTCAGTGTGGGGGTGTGCCCTGCAGGCAGTAGCACTGTGGCCAGGGAGGTTGCAGCAGATTGCTGTTTTCCTCATGGGTGGTTGGTGAGGGGGAAGAATTAGTTCAGCTTATTTAGCAAGAGGTTATTGGCCCTGGCCATGGCCCATATCCTGCTCAGGTGCACCTTGGATTCAGGTTTCTGTTTTGATATTTTCTCCAGTCTTTTTCAAGGTTGTATATGTATTTTTTAATGTAAATTTTTAGTAATAGGGTTCTCTTCTAATTGAAGTTACACTAATTCAGTCTTACAGGTAAGAATTAACACTACAGAAGACAGGTGGGTATCACATCTCCCATTGACTGCACCAACACTGTCAGTACATGGTGGCCAAAAGTTAACTTCTGGAAACAAGAAAGAATTTTTGTTTTATGCTGCCAAAATGCTGCTTAGTTCAGGCTGAAATGGTAGAGAGGACGGTAGCTTCTAAATGTGGTCTCCAGGTCAGAACAGGTAGGGAGAACAAGCACGTGGCCACAACAGAAAAGTTATGCTTTGATTTTAAATATTAGTGATGTGTTCAGGACCTATAGCACACACACCCCCAAATAAAAAATGTTAACAGCAGCAGTTCAGGGACTCCTCACTATGCTAGACCCTTCCCCCTAGTGTTCTCCTCACTCCTGGCCACTCTGAGGTGATCGGAAGTGTCCATCCCACTCTGGATTGAGAGAAAAGGCTTTGGATTTTCTTGAAACCCTCATGACTTGGGGAGGGAGCCCCAGTACCTGCTGTCTCAAGCCCCTATGGGCAGCTGCAATCAGCCCAGGCTTCTACCTGCTTTCTGTCTTGGAGAACTCACAAAGTTTTCTTTGCATTGTGGATTTTTCATAACTCTTCTTGTCAATATACTTAGCTGACACGCATAATTGATCAAAATGGAGATCATTTAGTGTTGTTTTATCTATGTGACCATTTCTCTTACTTGAGGCGCTCATACATGTTTTAGAAATGGGGTGTCCAGCTTAAGCCTAAGGAACAGTAACTTTCCTTCTAATGGACTAAGATGTGTTAGAGACCAGGCAGCAGAACACCTGTCTCTAGTGTTGGTGTTTCTGCACTTTGTGAGAATGTGCTCACCTGGTGCCAGGGCTGGCCCCAGAGTGCTGTGTCCCTAGTCCCCCCAGGCCACATCGCTGTACCTTAACCCAGCCTGTTAGAGGAGCTCACCCACTACAGCTCCTTTCCTTGAGTCTTGTGTTCCCTTTTAGTTTGGGCTGCTCCAGGGCCAACAGGTTTCCCCAACCATAGCTGCATACTCAGAAATGACGTGCCCGTAGGCTGTGGGAACTCTTCTCAGCTCATTTGGGGAATCTTGTATCTTCTTTCGATGCTTGTTCTATAAGAGAAGTAGGTTATTTTGTCTTACAAGTATAAAACAAACATTGGATATACATTTTCACTGTAATCCTCCTTTGCATCCAGATTCTCATCTATCCCAATCTGTGCTTGATATTCCAGGTCCCCACAGATTCAGTGTTACTGTGGAGGCTGCAGCAACATTTGTCTTAGAACTTACCTGACCCTAAACCTGCCAGCTTTCATTCTGATGCCCATTCGTTCAGATGTGCTTTAAACTTGGTGTCTCTGGACTGTGCCATGGCTCCTTCTCAACGTCTCACATGCAGGGAGTAATGTTAAACCTCTACGGGCTTCACAATTCAGCTTCTTTTATGGAGTGCTGTAAAAAATGGCAACGCGTTGGCATCTGACCGCCTCTAACTTCAGGATGGGGAGGAGAGAGAATCAAGATCAACATCAGCCCAAAGATGATTCCTATGAAGCATAGGTCAGATATGCCTCCTCTCCAAACTTTTTACCAATTCTGACACCAAACTGTCCCTCCTATGGCACTCGCTACTTCTCTGCTGGGTTTGATAATTCATTGCAGTAGCCACACAGAACTCACAGACAGTACTCACGATTATGGGGTTTATTAGGGAAGTAGCAGGTAACAATTCAGGATCAGACATGACTCAGGATACAGTTCCTCAGTCAAGACAGCTTCTTGGCCATGCCCACAGGTGGGCCTCTCCCTGGCCCTCGGCCTCTTGGCCCTCGTGCCTCTTGGGGCAGCGTGGCCCAGCCTCTGCCCTGCTCAAGCAAGTGTTAAGTGCCCAGAGGTACCCCACTCCACTAGTAAGCCTCCACCCAAAGGCACTCAGCTCTCTAGCTCTACCGCAACCATCTCACAGTGGGCTCCTGGTTCTACTGTCTCTGTTGCGGCTGTTTCTCTGCCTCTTGCCATCTCTTGCCGTCTCCTGGGTCTAGGACGTTCTCAGCACAGGGATCCTGGGTCCAAAGGGTGCATTCCACTCCCTGCTCTTCTTTCTTGGTGCTAGTCAGGTCCTCCCTTTCTGCCTCTGGGGTGGCTCATTTTAAGCTTACTGGGATGGCAAAACTGACCAGTCCCCTCATTAGGGTTCCATACACATTATTTGCATGGCCCCACACCCACAAGGGTGCCATGAACCTTATTTGCATTATTAGCAAGTGGTCCAATCCCCTTGGTGGGCCACAAGCATCTTATTTGCATAGTCCCACCGAGTCATTTGGTAAGAGTTACAACACCATGATGAGAAAAGCCATGTAAAAGTGCCCTGGTTTCACAGTTCCTCTGTGGAGTTCACAGTTCAGCTTCTTTTATGGGGCGCCCTGTGATGGTGTGCAGACCCAGTGCTGATTGGCTCTGGTCCTGAACAGAATCATGCTGTTTCCTTGAGAGACTGCCCTGAGTTACCAGTGATGAAAGAGGAGAGAGGGATGGATGGATGATTGACCGAAGAATGTGTATTTTTATGAGCTTTTGCAACCTGACAGGAAAAACATACAACAACAGCTGTTAAACCACCTATTTGCACATTACTAAGATTACCTTCTTCCTAAGTTAGTTGATTTTATTTAACGTTTTCAATTTTTCTGCTATTATAAATAGAGGCTTTACATGGAAGGCAGTGAAAGGTGTCCTTCCACAAACAGTGTCTGTTCTCCAAGCCAAGTGCATCTGGAGGAAGAACAGTCGGGCTGGTTGCAGACTCACTGCTGAGAGTTTGGGTTTTTGTTGCTCAGTGTGCATTTCTGAATATGAGAACACAGGTTCTATTTTCAGGTCCTTTGGGCTGCCCCTGCCCTGTGTAGAGCCTGTGCTGGGCTTCATGGAACACTACAGCCTCCTCCCAGGGGCTCATGCTCAAGGACCTTATGGGTTGGTCGAGATGCTGTGCCTAGATTGGGAGGCCAGGGAGGACTGTAAGCCCAGGATGCAGGGTCCTGGGGTGTTTGGTGCCATTCTGGTGGTTCTGGAGAGGAGAAGCAGCTGAGAGGCTCCTATTTCCCTTATAGAACAGCTTGTCCAGATTTTTGGAACAGAATCTGCTGTTGTATTCATCCTTCAGCAGTTAGAAGGATCTGCTTTATTGTATGACTTTCATGAAATTGTTGCAGTTATAACTTGTGGTTTTTCTTATTCTTTCATCTTTACTAAAACTAGAAAAAAATGCTGTTGATGGCGAAAATGAACACCTAGTGTTGGAACCCAGGCATCTGTGTCAGGTCAATGCAGGGGTTCTGTGTCTTGTCCCTGTGGTAACTTCTCCTGCATTGGCAGTCCAGCACCTGCTGTGGCATGGTGGTCACCCCAGCTGGCCAAGCTGCAGCTCATTTGGATGATGATTCCAACATCCTTAGCAGTGACTCTTGCATCTCAGGCACCTTTTGTTTTCTGTAATGAGGCCTAGGCAACTTGGTTACCTCGTGGTGCCTCAGTGTGCCCATTTGTAAGGGGGTAATCATAGTATCTACTCCAGAGGGCTGATGTGAGAGTGAAGAGTAAGTGCCTGATAAAATAGGAGCTCTTGTTTATCGGTCAGTCATGTCCCCTTGTCACTGAAGGTTGAGGAGTCACCTCCTCTGACCTTCCAGTGCCTTGTACATACCCTAGGGACGGGATGTGGTGGGGTTGTTATCCTTCCTTGTTTAGATGTGGTCCATTGCCCAGGGCCACCATTGTGGACGGAGCTCTGAGCGTGCAGCATGGGTTCAATTAGTGTTTGTTTGTGGATGGATTTCAAACTTTCAGGAGCTGGGCGACCATCTGATTTTCCTATTTCAGTCTTAGTGAATTCTTACTTTTCACCCTAGTATTTTCCTTTCCAATTATAAAGGTAATATATGCTCAGAGTTTGAGAAAATTTCAAGAAGGTTGGGAATGTTCAGAAAACTGAAAAGAAGGGAATAAGGATCTTACCACCTGTTGTTGTTGTGTGCCATCAAGTGGAATTAGACTCATAGCGACCCTATAAGACAGAGTAGAAGTGCCCCTTAGGGTTTCCTAGGCTATAATCTTCATGGAAGCAGATCGCCATGTCTTTTCTCCCTTGGAGCCACTGGTGAGTTCAAACCGCTGACCTTTTGGTTTGCAGCCAAGTGCTTAACCATTGTGTCACCAGAGCTTCTTTCATGGCATATCAGAGTTTTGTGGGTCTCAAGTCTATATAATGTGAGAGCTGTATTTTAAAAAAAGGATGCACAATTAGGAGAATATAATTAGGTAAGAGTGAAGATTTGTGTATATTGAAAAAAGAAATCACAAAAAGTCGCACATTTTAAAAAGAAGACAAATACCACAACTACAATACTTTTTTCCCTACATTTTTGGGTTGCATTTGGACCACTTCTTTATATGACAGCAATTTCATAATTTTTTTGTTGAGAGAAAAGAAAGATCACACAGTCACTTTTCTAGGGTGATTGATCCTCATCTGCTTTCTGTTATTGACAGTTTAGAAAAATTTCTTTCAGCTTTACAGCTGATCATATGTCATGGGAATTTTTAGGCTTATTGTCAAATTTGGGACACCTCTATCAAGTTTCTTTCACATGTGACCTTCCGAGTTTCTTAGGCAGAAACCGCACGGCCTTGGAAGGGGGCTGGCAGCCATGACAGCTGTGAGTAGCTGGTACTTTTTGCCGGTCTTTTTCTCTGTGGGCCTTTGGATATGCACACATAGTTGCAGCAATTATACAATTGTGTATCTTGAGTCTTTTACTTAAAGAGTATATCATAAGTGTTTTCTTAAATTGTTAAAAACTAAAATTGATAGGCAGACTTTTTATGTCCTAATGGCCCGTCATATAGTTGAACAAAGAAACAAGCAAATTTTTGTTTCACTCCTCTCTTTTTGCTGGACGTGGAGGTGAGTACGTTCCTGATGGGGGAGTAAGAGGTGTCCTGCTGGAACTTGATTTATGCAGCAGTAGAGGGAATTTTCCTGAGGTTGTGCTAGTTCCATGGCATATGCCCACATGGGTCAATCTGGTCAGCTGCTGTTCTTAGTGCTCCCACAAGGCAGCCTCTCTGAGTCAAAAGACTGACAACTTTTCTCTTTCCTTCCTGGCTTTATTTTGTTAAAACTCCTTTCTGTGTATTCATTGGTTACTAGGATTGTGCCTCATTTGTTACCCAGCTTCACTGGAAGTCCAGGCTGTGGGAGGGAATGGTTTTCCTTTGGCATCATCTCATCATCTTACTGAGACACCTGGGTTAAGGCTGGACTGGCAGGCCATCAGCATTGCTGAAGAGACCTCTGGCCTCTACACAGAGACCATCTCATGGCCTTTCTTTGCTTAGCCTGCAAAACATGAGGATAATTCATCTTTTGGTGGTAATTTAGCAACTTGAAAAAGAGGAAGACCCTCAACGAGATGGATTGACACAGTGGCTGCAACAGTGGGCTCAAGCATAGCAGGAATTGTGAGGATGATTGCAGGACCAGTGTTTCGTTCTGTTGTACATAGGGTTGCTGTGAGTCAGAACTGACTTGATGGCACTTAACAGTTAGTATATTTGTTTTAAAATATGATAGGATTTTAATCTTCTCATAGCCACATTTTTAAAGTTTACTCTTCAGTGACGAGTCTTTTCTTGTCTAATTTAGTATAAGAGAATTTTCCAGGAGGTTGGTTGTCATCACATTAAGATCTTGGGCTTTGTTTACATAAAATGTTCTGCAGCAGCAGGTTCCCAGTAAGTGTTGTGGTGCAGAGTCCTTCATTTACACTCCCCATTTAATGCAGACTTGATAAGGGAGACAATAATAAATGCAAAACAAACACCGTCCAGTGCCTGGAATGCATTTTGTAAAGTATGTGGCATGCGTCACTTTGATTAACCGTACTCACTGTGTGATTGGCGCAGGTTTGGATAATAACTGCAGTGGGTGCCTTTTGAATTCTCTGCTGATCTGTGTGCAGCAGGTGCTCACGATGCAGTAGCGATTTGAGGCACATTCTGTACAGCACCTACTCTGTGCTGATGCTCTTTTAGACTCCTGAGACTCAGCAGTGAACAGTGAGAGTAGTCAGAAATCTCTGACTTGATAGAGCTTGCTTCCTGGTGGTGGGGTAGGGTAGGGAAGACAGACAGTAAACAAGACAAGAAAACATACAGGATGTTAGATGGTGATAAGTGCTAAGGAGAAAAAGCAGGGGTGCATAAAAGAGTGTGGATGGGGAGGTATAGCATTTTTAGATGGGATGGCCAAGTAAGACCTTATTAAAGAGATAATATTTGCCTAAATAGCTGAAAGAGAATGAACCAAGGTTACACCCAGGGAAAAGAGTATATACCAGGCAGAGGAAAAGGTAACTGTAAAGGCACGTTTGAGAAATATCAAGGAAGCTAGTGTGGTTGGAACAGATTTGATGTAGATTTTTCTTTCTTAATGTGTTTTTAAGGAAAAGCTTATTGGACGTTTATGTTCTGTTCTGCACATTTGTGTGCGAAGGATG